TAGACCTTTCAAACATGTGGCAGCCCTCTTCAAAAGTGTTTTTAAGCTTAATCCTTGTTAACTCTCCTTCGCTTGACATTGCGATACATATTTTAGTTAACTGATGAATTAAGTGGAATTTGATTTTTTTTTAACATGTGGCAACCCCGCCAAGTACAGTTCAGAAATACAAGTTTTTTAAACCCCCATCGACTATACCCATATTTTAATAATTCTTTAAACTTATTAAATAATTTGAATTAAACTTTTTAAACCGGTGGCAGCCCTCTTTCAACACCTCAAAAATATTCTGACGTTCAAACTAAAGATTTCTTAACACTCCTTCGTTTGACATCCATATTTTGATGTTTCATATACCACCTTGTGTATAAGTAAACTAACTTCGACATTTCAAGCAGGTGGCAACCCTCTTCAAAACATTTTCAAACTACTACTTTCTGAAACCCCTTTCATTTGGTGACCCATATGGTGATACATATTTTTCTTACCTAATATGATTTTTTAAACAGGTGGCAACCCTCCCATAGTTCAGCTAAGTAACAAAAATTTTGTAATAGTCGATTTATTTATTTTTTTAATAATTTGAATATAATATTTTAAATGGTTGCAACTCTTTTTAAAAAAAGTATATATTATATAGATGACTAACTAAAAAAATGCTTATCCCATTTCAATCGCAATTTGGTTGGTTTTTTTGGTTGCTTTGCTCAGGGTTGGTAATCAATATACATACGTAAAAAGCACTTCATCGATATTTTATGATTTTTCTTTTTTTTTCGCTCAAAAATAATAATCATTGTTGTTATTAATTTTAATGTTTATTGTTTAAACTCGAGAAGTCAAAATTTAAGGCAAAAGGATTATTTTCCGTCCCTAGTTTTACTTGCAAGGAAAAACAGAATGCTTTTTTTTAGATCTCAACAAGGCATACGTTATCTCAAGTGTAAAAGCACATCACTTCTACGGTTACGATCCCACCTGAAGTCTAGAAAAAGGAGTCTGATGAGAAGATGTGGTAATGTCCGTTTTACTCCTTTTATTTTTTCTAAACATAAATCGTGGTATAAAGTTCAAAACCACCTTTAAAATAAATATAAACACACCACAATAATATAAACATAAAATAGAAAAGAAAAGTTAAAAGCTTTTACTGCTAGCAAATCTCCGAGATTTTCTTCTGCTCGTTTAGCCAACTCGACGCTGTTTGTGAAATTTTTAATTACAACCTGCAATTTTGTTACTGCATTAAAATTTCATAGCAAGGTTGTCCTTTGCAAAATATTTTAATAGCATTTTTTTTTTAAAGATATTCTGAAACCTAAAAAAAAAGGGCAGCATCAGAAGTAATTATTGGTTACAGCTTTTCTAGCTGCGTAAAGTGAGCAACACATTTTATGAAAGATTTACGCATTTGGGTCACGCTTTTAGAGATATTAAAAGGTGGCTGCTCACCTTGTTTTGCACAAATCTTTTATTTTGAAGTATAAAAATATTTAAACGGAAATCCAGTGCATAGTAAGCATCAACCTTCAGCAAATACTTGAGCAGCAATAATCAAAGCAACGCAATGTTATGGGGAGAAAGTGTAAAACATATGGACACATGTATGTATGTATGTATGTATTTCCATTCATTGAACCTAGTAGAGAATTTACAGTAAATGGAAATAATCAAGCACTAATAGTCGTAGCTACTATAATAGATATTTCCACTGAAAAAGCTCCGTTTGACGGTTCCAAAAAATGAGGCCTATAACCTCTACGGCTAATTCCCCTACAAATAATTATACAAAATACACTTCATTGGACATGTACGATCACGCAGATGTCGCGTTTTCGGTTAGCCACCAGAAGCAGAGTTGATTCCTTTGGAACTGGCTGGCTGCAGAGAAGATTAAACGCTACCCATAGGGCGTATAACGACACTTTCATGAGCATTGAATCGCTAGGGATGCATTTCAAGAAGTGCACTCGGCAGCTGCTCTTGAAGAAGAGCTAGAACTGACCAGAGAAATTCAGGATAACTTTAGTCTGGATAATTTATCCAGAATCGACGACGGCATACAAAATAAGGTTCAGGCTTATGGACACAAAACAACTCCTCTCTTGCCAACTAAAAACCCACTCATCTATTTAACACTTCTTTTCCTTAGGTTTGACTCTGTTAAAACGGCATAGTGCGTAATTTTCGCCGACCGCTGCAGGGTGTCAGTAGGGTTGCTTAGAGATTTGTAATTATGTAGTTTAAATAAATTAATTTAAAATCTACTTTCTATTAATTTATGCAACTGAGAGTTGATTGAAGTCTTTAACTGTAGAGTGCTTTGAAACGGTCACAAATTGCTCTGATGCAATGGCAATGCTATTGTCAATATTGTTCAGTTTGGTTTTCCATTTCATCAACCTATACCTGCAGAATGCGCTCTATCCATGCAAGTTGCTGCGCCTGCAAGCCCAAAATTATATTCAAACACTAAAAAAAGCGAGTTTTAATTAACCATTTCAAGCTAATAATAATAAAACCAAATTCGCTTATTTTCTATGTTGGCCTGATTTTGACACTTGTTCGACTGCAAATAAAAAATATTCTAGATCATTTTTTTTTTGTTTCGATTTTTTTTTTGTGCGACCGTCTGCTTCATTATTTTAACGCATACGACTTATTTAGGGCCAAGTCCAAATTTGACCCTCAGAGGCTTAAAAATGGTGGGAAATAACTAAATTTGCTATTTTTTGACAATTTTTAATTCTCAATATTTTTGTGAATATAAATTTTTGAACGCTGTAGTGTCAAGTGCAAGGTTTTGACTCTTTCTGATTGGCTGAAGCAGGCAGCTCTCTGATACTAAATGACAATGCCTTTAATTTAATATACACACAGGCCAAGTTAGCTTTTCATAAGCGAACATAATTATGTTGGTTAAGTCTTCCACATAAGATATGCTAATAGCTTAATTTTCTGGCCAAATAAAAAATGCCTAAAGTAATTTTTCAGTTTGAAATTATGTAATCTCATTATTTTATTTAAATTAAAACCTGAACAGCTCTAACAGTAGCCTTTCTAAACTGGTCCATTTATGTATCTTTGATATACATATATAAGAGCTTGTGTGATTTTAGTAGAACTTATGTTGCATCGCACTGTATTTTATTTTTTATTCTTGTGTAGATAAATATTTAGTTTACCCCCTTTTCAGATTTCAACGCATTAAGCGGACGACAAAAATTCCAAATTATAATTATATATATATATATATATTTTTTTTAAATAAATTTTTGTTATCTTGCATCTCTGTTGGTTTTGCGTTTTCTTTTTCCTTTAAGCGATGAAAATCATATTTTGGTATTATAAATTTTTATTATTTTTATTTTTTCCTCGAGTACACCAAAAAGTCATCGGAAGCAGTACGAAAACGAATTCACGAAAAAAATATATAGTTTATGAGTTAAATGTACGCACGTACCTATGTATGCTGCTGCAAAAAAATGTATGACACACAATATTTTTTTTTTTCTACCCTTGCATAAAAGTACTTTTTTTTGAATGCAGCGGGAAAAAAGCAAGCATACATGCATAAATATCATGAAAAAATTCTTTTGTGTTAAGCGTGAACACCTCTAAATATACATACATATGTACACATAAATCTGCATAAATACATGCATATGTATGTACATATGAATATGCTGAGATCCATAAGCGCCGAATTCACTTATCCTTGCATCCACTGAATGCACTCGGAAGGTGTAAGTGCATGCGCTCACCTGCATATATATATACTTAAGTGTGTATGCTTGCCAACACTCTCACTCCAAGTTACACCTTTGATCACAAATGTATTCAGGGTAGGTGTTTTTGTTGTTGTATATAACATGCAGTGTGGTAAAACATTTTACTTGATATTATCTCAAAGCCACAGTGCAGCCATTAGCGTAAGTAGAAATATGAATTTGCATTTGAGTGCAACGCATAACGCATTTCTGTGTCAACATTTTCGATGACATTTGTGAATGTAGATGTCGGTGAGTGGTTTTGAAGAGAAAAAACAAACACATCCTTGCGTTATTTTATGTTTGAGAAAATACAAAAGCAGCTTCACTTTCAGGTGTGGGGTGAATCTTAGCTCAGAGAAAATAATCTTTTTACAGACTTCACTTTTTGAGACTTTAATTTATCTAACATAGTCTACAAAAGAATGTAAAGGCACCAAAGTAAACGCAATTAAATAGTGCGATACTGGAAAACGTCATTGCCTACTTTATACATTTTCACCTACCTGAGTTTCACGATCCATCTAGGGTCTGATCGTAGAAGCCCTTTGTCTCTGATTTGCAATGAACATTCCTAAAAAATTATAAACCTGCATTTCCCAATTTGCCAAACAACTTCGTAACGACGTCGTTTCCGACTCGTTCTGATGAACAACTCGCCGTCGGATGAAAATCACAGTTCGCCGACGGGCCGCCAAAACGATTTAACAAAAACCTTATAAATCGAATTTCAAACTGTGTGCAATATTTAAAAAAAAAATCAGCAAGCATTCCTAAAAATTTCATACTTTTCGATCTGAATTAAAAGAAAAAATATAAAGCAATTTTATAGCTCATTAAATTTTGTGTAATAGAGTACAAATTTTGTACGGAAAAAATGAATTCGATTTAACGTCGATTCGAACTCGTCCGCGCTCTGTGGCAAATTGCGCCTAAAAGTAGGACACGAAATATATATTTTGCTTAATTTTTTCGCTTTGATCGCATTTCACATTGGTTCTCTAAATTTTTACCCTGTTCTCTCTCTTCCTATTGATTGATAGTTTGAAGACCACCTGAAAGCCTAGCTTCCCAATACAGAGGTGTGCATAGACCGTAACAAAACTAACAACACTACATAGCTCAAATTATATTTATTTTATTTTTTTTTTATCTGGTTCGTTTTGCTTGTAAAAACAGTTCGTTTTCAAATATTTTTATAAAAAATCCAGTTGTTTTCTACCAACTCACCTAAGCTCCACATATCGATGGCGGTGCCATATTGCAGTCCAAGTATCACTTCTGGTGAGCGATAAAATCTCGATTGTATGTATGTGTAAATTTTACGACTCACATAGCAAGAGCTGCCAAAATCGATGACTTTTATTGAACTACTGCCACGTTGTTTAAGCAGAATATTTTCCTGTAAAAGATAATAAAGTGAAAGCCATAAAGAGTATTTGGCATTTCATGCTATGGGAAAGTGACAAACTGTGTACATAAGTAAGGAAAAACGAAGCTGGGTATTTTGTTGAATCGGTGAGTCAGCAAAAAGGGCTTATTTTTTGCCAGTTTGGTTTTCTTAAAGAAGAAGCGTGTTTTGTAAATTTTAACAGATAGAGAGACTTATTTCCGCTATCAGATAGATGATAGACAGTTTGATTGACAACAAAAAGGGACTACAAAAAATCGAATGAAGCAGTGGCACCAAAATTGGAAAGATATTGCTTGCTGCTTAACATTTTTAGAAAACTTAAATTTAGATAGAAAATTACTTGTAAGATGACTAAGTTGGAATCAAAGAATTTTTTTTTTTGGGGTTTTTGGAGCTATTGAGCCTCTAAAGCGACTCTGAAAGTATTCTTAAAGCATGAGTTTAGCTCGCTTCGAACACCTTTAAAAGCTTTTCTGGTTGTGTTCGCTATTCACAACTAAAAGGTAAGTAATAATAGTTTTGTTTCTTGAACAAAGTCCAACTAAATATAGTAAAGTGGAGCTGCATTAACTAAAATTTCAATAGGTTAATCGTACTCCTTGTGTGTATCTTTGTGGCCTATACAATGACAATATTTTAGTATAAAATATTTCTCAAAAGATTCTTTTAACCTCCACAAAGATCGTTTTATGGATCCTAATTAAGCAGCGGTTGCCTAAAATATACACAGTTTGACCCCAAAGTCTCGCTCGGCATTCCATATTTTAACCACAGATGTTTGACGCATACAAAAAATGGCATCCATACTTACCGGTTTGAGATCACAGTGTATGATATTCTCTTTGTAAAGCAGACGCAAGCATTTAACGATCGAGTTACAAAAACGTCGAATCAAACTCATGCTGAAACCATTGTAGTTATTCTTCTTGATCAATTCATAGAGATTGAGACTGTAAAGAAAGGAAAAAGAGATGGTTTAAATAATGGCTGTTGTAAAAACATAGATTTATTCTAAAGTTTATAAGTAGCTAGTAGGAAAAATCACAAGGGATATTTTTCCTAATTTCTGTTACTTGAATAGGTGCATTGCTTTTGCTGTAAATTTTCTTGGATAAATAAATATACGAACCCAGCATTGGAAATAAATATACGAAGTAGCATTGGAGCAAAAACTGGTATCTAAAATGTCAAGAAATTATCTAACTTTGTAATTATACAAAACAACAAAAATTGAAATAAAAAAAGTTTAAAATTTGTGTGACTTTCTTTCATTCACGGTCCAATAATCAGCATTTATGCAAATAGATTTGGCCATTCAAGAATTGTTGTGAAACAATTTTAAATATTTGACAGTTTAGAGACAAAATAAATTGCAAAAAATTTCATTTAAGCTGCTCTACTGCTGCTACATGTTTAATGCGCCTTGGTACGAAATTTTTTTTTTTTTGTTCAGCGCTGCATACTGATTAAGAAATTTTTAGATAACATCATTTTTTCCCCATTTCTAGTTTTTTAAGACTCTTGGAGAGGTCTTTGTAACTTAGCACATCATTGAACTTCATTTAACTTAAAAGTTACATGCATTCCAGTTTGTCGATAAATTTCGATAATTTGATACATATCGATAATTGAACTCATTTAGAAAAGACTAAAATCCGATAAGAAAAATTCGATAACTCGACTGATTTCGATAAATTTCGCATCGTTCGGTCGTTTTAGGGACTCAATATATTTTGATGACTAAAAAATTTATGTATCTACCTCAATATAAATCGCTAACTCGATAAACTCTGGATACGTCTGTAAATTTCGATAACTCGGTTAACAAATTTTGATATCTCCATATTTTTCGAAAGCTATCGACAAATTTCTCTAAAAATTCTGTTAAAATTTGATAAGCAGTCATAACTCGATAAACTTATATGTACATAATTAAAATTACTTATATATAATTGAATAACGATAAATACCGATAACTCGATTGTTTGAAATAAGTGGATGCATTACGAAATTCGGCAAGCTTCGTTTATAAATAATGATAATTCAATAAATATCGATAACTTTATAAATGTCATTGACTTGATAAATTTCGAAAATTCCATACATTTTTATAGCTCGATAAATATCCGTAAATTTCGACTAATTTTCTGTGTCTATCAATTTCGACAACTCAATAAATATTGAGCAATTTGCATAATACGATACATTGCTGTAATTCAATAAACATGAATAACTCGATAAATTTCGATAACCATAAACTTCGATGATTCGACTAATTTCGATAACTTGATAACTTTACATTTGTTATGACTGAATTTATTTCGATGCCTATCGAAAAATTTCAATACATTTTCCTACCTTTTCCGTTACTCTAATTCTTATGTATTTCTAATTACTTTCATTTTCGTCTTTATCTTCAACTGTGCCCACATATTTTTCTTAATCATTCTTATCATTTATTTCTTCATCATCACATTTATCTTTATTACTTCAAAAACGAAGTGAAACAAATTCGAAAGCAACACAATTTTGGTAGGTTCCAACAACAACTATACACAAATACGGAAATTTTCGAACGACCATTTTTGCCAATTGTGGAACCATTAAAAATATGCTCATCTACAGAAAAATACCTTTCCAATTGTGTTCTTGGTTTTGAAATCGGTTCGGTAGAATCGCCAAACGAACGGTTGCAAAATGTATGTTAGCGTATTAATATAAAGATTTTTCATATTGCAAGTATTAATTTAAATTTTCTTCGTCCTTAATTCTTAAATTTTGCATGCATTCATTGATCTACCATAAAGCGCCTCCCAAACTGCATCGAATTTAAAATTTCGTCCGTACTTGTCGAAGTTATGTATTGAGACTAGGCGATTACACAGGAGAATACCAGCGAATCGAGTGCTGTAATGTGTGCATGAATGTAATTCTATAGAGTTACGACAAAGCAAGAGAGTGCTAAAAAGTGCTCAGCAAACTCACAAAGCAAGTGGCACACAGAGTTGCACACTATCTGTTGATAACTGCAAGCCACTCGAGGGTCTGCGTGGCGTATACGTAACACTGAATAGCAGCTTCCATACAATGGAAATATGTACATATGTACTGAGGAAGATTGAGTTAAATTGGATAGTCATGTATGTTTGTTTGTTATACATACATTTGTATATGTAAGCGAAGCCCAACAATATTAAACAAAGCATTCGCTTAATATTTTAGTTAGATTTCATTATCTCTTTTTTTAGTGGCATTTAAAAAATGTTTACCCAAATTTTATTTAATTTCCTATAAAGTTAAATAACATAAAATAGGATCTTTTTACATCGAAATAGCCATACATATCGCACATCACCTTCAAAAGAGACACAACTCAAAATTTGGCATTTTTGAAATTACATTGTGCTAAAAATGTACCTAGAGCTTTTATTTAACTTTCATCAAAAGCAGGAGCAAATTTTTGTTATAATCTGTCAGAGAAAAACCAAAAGTAAAGTCTCCCTTGCCCATATGATAATCATGTGCTAAGAAATAGTTTTTCGCATTTTCTGACAAACGTGTAAATTGGAGTTGTGCCCCCTTGGAAGACGGTGTGCGATATATGCATGTATGAGCAGTTTGGTGAATACCGAAAAAGTTTCCAGCTCGTTCTTCATATGATTGCTCGGCTAAATGTGTTTATCAGTATGCATAAACCCTGCAAGAAATTCGAGTGGCTTTATCTATCATCTTTTTACCTAATGAAATTGATATTCGGAATGATTTATGTATGTACATCGCCGAAAACGAAACCAAGGCAAAAATTCACTCAATCCTGAGACACCTTAAAAAAAAGCGAAATCGATTCAAGGTATGTATTTCCAACGCCCACCAAAAACAGAATTCTTGCCTTTTATATATCAAAATAACAATATTAATAAAATATATCCTCCAATTGTGATTTTTTAGACCTAAACAATCAGCCCAAACATTCAGAATGGATGATTTTTTGTCGCGATTTTCTAATACTTTGAGTTTTTATTCACTGCCTACCGTGATTTTCTCTGAATAAATAAATTTACTTCTTGTCCATACGAGTAGCATGGCAGCCATTTTTTATAGCGTGGTAGCGCTCAAATCTGTGCTCATAAGATATCTTCAAATGTCATTTAGCATGTGAGGGTGTGACTTAGGGCCATACTTCGCATAACTTCGCACAACTTCGCATAACCTTCAAACTGTAATTTCGTGTGTTCTTTGTTTGTATTTTGTATGTGGTCCATTACCCAGAAATTAACGGAACTTTTAAAAACACAGCGATCTGTTTAGTTTAGATTTTGCTTCACATTTTCTTAAGTTATATTTTTATTGCATTGGTACAAATGGTTGTGCGAAGTTATGCGAAGTATGCAATTATCAGACCTTTAATTTAAACACAACTACCCTTTTAAAGAGTTTAAACCTTTCTTGAGAAAATGCTAAAACAATTGGAAAATTAAATAAGCTTATTGCCGAAAAGTGAAAAACTCGAATTCAGAATTATATTTCTCAGAGATTTGAGCAAGAAGGAATTTTTAAATTAAATTTTTTTAGCTGAAAACTTCTATCTTTCTTTAAGCAATGAGTATAGGTGTTTTGGCAACTTTTCTGTAAATTTTTGAGAGTTTATAGAATATTTTGTGGCTCTCTAGGGATTTTATCGGAATTGGAACTCTTTTGGATCCTTCTACATTTTTTTGGAAATTTTTAAAAAAATGGAAACTGCGTGAAATTTCTGATATAAATAAATAGGCAAATTTTCATTGAAAGCAATACTGAAAGTATTAAGATTTCTTGCTAAAAATAAAAAAAAATTTAAGTAATTATCAATTATTTTCAAATTTATAATTATCAATATTGAAAATATCGATAAATGAAAGATCAATAGTTTCATGCAAAGTCAAAACCATTTCATATTCAATGTTTAGTCTATTCTACAAGATTTGTTATTTCAAAAGTAATTTTGTAGTTAATTTTTTCTTAGAGGGTTCGAACAAATTATGTCGTTATTTTCATAGAGACATATCGTGAATGTACGAAGTATGTAGTATAGCGGTACCGTGTGTTTGCTGCTTTATAAGACACTTGGTGCGCGACATTGTGCAAAATTTGATAACGAAAATGCAATTAAAACGCTGCTTGTAGCGCATGCCAATGAATAGCAAAACGCGAAAGAGACAGGAAAAGTTTGCAAGGAATGCCTGGCGAGAGTGTATGCATGCTGTTGAAAATAAAACTTTTCCTAAAAGTGTTTAACATTTGGCAGTAAATGAAAAATTCGAAACTAAAAATTAAAAATTCTAGATTGCACAAGAAAAATTTTTCGAATGAAACTTACAACGAATTTTTGAAGACCTAGAAAATTTCGAAAAGCTGTTGGAAATTATTGTATGCAGTAGGTTTGCTTCAGCTTTCTATTAATGTTCAAGCAATTTTCTTCAATACTTAAATTCACAGCTTTAATATTCACACTAAGATGGCACGTGGACATTAAAAATAGCAGCAGTACGAGTTATCTACCAGAATTGTGACTGCCATTCAAACCACGTTGGCGTTACAATGGTCTATGGCTTGGCTTCTGCTTGCATTTGTGTTTAAGTCCTTTATACATATTACTGTTGCCAACCTTATGCAGCAGCTGCAGCAAGAACAGCAATGATGCCGGCTATAGAAATGTATCAAACATCAAATGTCAACTGTCAGTTTTGCTTTTCAAAAAAAGCTGTAAACTATATGACTATTTGTTTTGAGCAGCTATTGAAATCTTTAGCAGGAAAGTCAGTTGGTTGTATGGATGAAATATGTACGAGTGGGTTGAGATTTGCACATTTCTAGCAAAAATGTACATAGGAAGTATGGGTGTACATTAGGGTGGCTAAACTTTGTTTCACTCCAGCCACCCGCCAGGTCTGAAGATTATGAACGGTATTTA